ATTCTTCCTAGGACAAATGACGTCACTTTTGCCATTCATTTGTATGGGGTTTATCATTACGGATATCTCAGTTTCAGATATCCACTATGTGAATTACAGATATCTGCAATTGAATTGTAGATATCTCCAGTTAAGATATCTACAATGTTGATTCTGACCTTAGTCATAACTCCCAGTTCAAGATATCTTTAATTCACCTCAATTCAAGATATCTACATGTCCTTTAAAGATATCTTAAAATTAGTTTTACTAGGCGAAATGGACGGTTGTAGATATGCTGTAACCTGGAATTATGACTAGTCAAAAAAAAAAAAAAAAATTAGCGTTGTAGAGTATCTCAAACTGAAGTTGAGGGATAGTCAAATTAATTGTAGATAATCTATTATGAAGTTATAGAATATCTTGGAAATGAATGTTTTGATTAGAGATATCTGAAATTGGAGATATCTGTAACTTTCATTCTGCGTAGTCAAAATGTAATTACCAGATATCCTTGAATTAGAGTTTTGACTAGGCGAAATTACGTTGCAGAATCTGTAATGCAAATTAGGCCCCGCATCCCGCACTTTAGGGGGAGCCGAGGTGTTGTGTTCAAATCATCAAATCAAACATAGAACTAGCAACTGTTAACATGTTGCTTAATTAGTACCATGTCCGGAGGCAGCCAGAGGCGAAGGAGTTTTTAATCGCCTTTTTAATGGCTGCAGCCCGTGCAAGACATGAACCCGTCAATGCACAATAATTTGCACTAAGTCATGAATGACGTTGAGATATTTTTAACTTTCATTCGTGCCTAGTCAACAAACGAAGTACAGATATCTGATATCTGTATGTTTGACCTAGTCAGCAATTAGCTTATCAGATCAGTCCTTAATGACCATTTCGACTATCAAAATGTAATTGCGACTAGTCAGAAAAGATTTTTGATATCTAAGCAATGTTAATTCCCGGATAGTCAATACTTAGCGTTTAAATGGTTAAAAGGGCTTGCCATATGCACTGACCCCACTGACTTGCAGTCACATCACATGGCAACCAGGTGTAGTACTTGTTTTTTTTGTCTAGAGTCACGACTCTGAGAAACTGTACTACTTTCCTCATTTGTCATCAAATTTCTACGGATTAGATGTTTGATACATGTTTGATAAAGCAGAATTTAACCAAAAGTTAACAGTTAAGTACATTATTAGGTACATTAACCATTAGCTATAGAAACAGGAAGGTTTAATGACCTCCCTGAGGAGGAAATGTGTGATTTAGGTAAAGATGAAGTCCAATTCATTTTATTGTTCAATTGCTACTCAAAGTTGTAAATTCATTTTCAACTCTCCTCTATGTATAGTTACTCGCACCATAAAGCTCAAGACCCAAAAATGTCCATTTCTGTTCAATCTCAGATAAGTGGTGTCTATTTTCTCTCCATTGGTTGCTATTGCTCTCATGCAGCGCCTTAAACCACACCCATGAAGGATATAAAGGTGTGGGTCATAGCCTCACCAGCCACTGGATCCAGACACTTGCAAACAAAGTACAACTCCCATTCACTTCAAGTGAGACAGAGAATGGAAAGCCAGAGCCGTGGTGTGGCTCCATCCTACCTCGCATGGTCTATCTTTAACACTTTATGTTGTTGTCTGCCTCTAGGGATTGCTGCCATTGTCTGCTCCTGCAGGGTAAGTGAAGTTTTCTGAACTTCAAAGTTTTTAAAATCTTTGTACTGCTTGTATCTTTCTATTATTTTTATTGTTTTGCAACATTATACATTTTGTAAATACTTTTTTTCTAGTAAACTGAATTACATGTAAATTAAAATAATTTTTTTTTTAAAGGCACAAAATGCTAATGCTCTTGGAGAATCAGCTCAAGCAGAGGATGCATCAAGGACAGCCAAGATCCTAAATGTCATTGGACTTGTCTGTGGAATCATTTTGATCATCATTTTCATCGCTCTCAAAGCCACACAGCATTGAAGGTGTCTGTTAATGCCCACAGATTCTTTGGTATTTCAGCCAAGCTTTTTGTAAAATGAACTTCCCCTCCCCCACCCAGAGGACCGCAAAAGAAAAACAGATGTCTGCATGTGCCTGCATGTGTTTTTTTTTGTTGATCAAAAAGCCATAACCTGATGAATGGTGATTGTAAAAGCCAAAAACATAATTTGCTAAAGGAGAAAGTCATTCCTTTTTAACAATGAATTACACATGTTGTTGTTTGGTTTTGATCAAATAAACAATGCAACATGATTTTTTTGTGATTGTTGATTACAAGAATCAAAGCAATGTCAATGATAATGTTCATTTAAAGGTTAGGATGGGAAATAATGCTGCACAAATAAATTCAAAAAGGAGAAGAACAAAACCAACAAAAGTTTACTTTAGCGGCAGTGTCTTTTCTTTCTGGCAAACAGTATGCCACTGACTGTAGGGGACAGTAAACCAGAGTGAATACCATACTTTTCACTGACGAGACACAAAAGTTGCAGATGTTTGGGCTGAGAATTTTTTATCAAAGTTACAAAATGAATAATTGATTTTACCTCAATACAAATGGAAACAAAGCAAAAAAGCATCACCCCTTGACTAAAATTTTTCTAATTAATGTAATCTGGTAAGTTTATCATATATATATATATATATTTTTTTTTTTTTTTTTTGACAAAACGATGCAAACAAAAACTGTGAACTGATTAAAGGTAACACTAATGATGTTTAGTGTAATGTGTTGCAGTCATTTTTAAGTAGTTGGGAATTAGATTTAGGGTTCAATTTAGGGAGCTGGTTTCGGTTAAAGTCGTGTTTATGAAACCAAATCCAAAATCCAAAACAATGAAAAGCACAACAATGAGTAGGTACCATATGACTCATACTATATCATAATCATTCATTAAGATCTTTATTGAGTTTCACAATAAGAATAATATAAAAACAGTATATTAAGCAATAAAGTGCAACCAGTGTAAAGTGCAAAATATCCATAGAATGCAGTCCACTGATAAGTCCAGGAAACGCTGATTGGTCCAGGACTTCCTTCCGTAGGTCAGCAAGTAACAACATGAGACAACAGCTCTACCAGAAAGTCTTCCCACATGCAGATTTCAGCCATCAAACTTCACTGACGCTCTTAATTATTTACCTGGAGAGTCCATGATTTTATGGATGGGGTGAATGGTTTTGAATTTTAAAACTAACATTTCTGCACACTAATATGGATGCATAAAAGTACATATGTTTACCCAATCTGGTCTCCATCTTTCTCTGAAACACCAGAGCTCTTAACTCTCAAAATTCCTTCAAGATTGGAGAACAGGGAAATGTCTCTGTGTTTCCTGTGAAGTTCCCCAACTTCCTGCTCCGATAATCAGAAACAGAAAAACAAGAAAAATGCAAGGAAGGCTCTGGTTACTTTCCTCTTGCACAATACAGAGAGCAAACAGAATAATACAGTCATGGCTTTTTTCTGAAGTTTAAGTAGCAAGATGTAAACTATGCTAATGCAAATGATCATAGAAGGAGCAAATATTCTGTTCTTACATCTTCAGACAGCAACCCTCTGTTTGGTTTATGAAGTCTGTAAAGCAGGGAGGCAGCGTGAGAGTCTGATAGAGTCCCTTTTAAGGCCCCTGAAGAGGCCCCTTCACAACACAACACACACAAATTGGCTTCCTGTCCAGAGGGGTGCACGCCCAGTCTGGCCTGAAACAGTTCTCCCAAACATGCCTGCAATATCTGTGATATAAAATCAACAATTAATGTCACACTTGTAAAATAAATCCAACCAACAGTAAACCCATAAAAAATTCAAAAGTTCAACTTTATATGAAGATAAATTTGACTTCAAAACATACTCTCACAACTACAATATTTTCCCAAACCGCTAATGATTCATGAACACTTGAGTGTTTGCCTGCACCTTGAAGAAAAGCCTCTGGAAGGCAGGACTGGAGTCAGAGCTCATGTCTTTAATTTTGACATGGGACAGACAGTGGAGTAGCAGCAGAGAGAAGCCTCCAACTGACTGAAGCCTCTGGCGACGGACAAAGAGGGTCTCTTCTGCTTCCTGTCAACAGAGCCAGAGCCAACAGAGCTGTTCTCAGCAACACATTACAGCTATCGAAAAACATTTGCATACATAATTCCCTGATAAAAAGTATGTAAGTATGGCGCAACATTGCATCACATGTACAATACAATGTTGCATGTCTGGTCATTTGAAAGGAAATTAATGAATTCGTTTTACATTTTAGTTTTGATGATTAACTGGAATATATACATGAGAAAGTGCAACAGATGGGAATGAGGGCAAGAAGAGGAAGACCCTACTTCACCAATACACCTCTAAGGTCTGCTGCAATAAACAAGGATAGATTGTAATGTCTCCCATTAAATGCTACAAATTCTAAATGTCAGCTAGAGTTGTATGTTTTGCAAAGTAATCTATGTGTCAAACTGCATGAGGAGAGAATCACAAAACAGCAAAAACCTGAAAACCCAGAAACAAACTTTAAAACATTAATCCCATGCAGGAAAGCTGTTTTGCTGGTTATATACTGATTTGAGGGGTCATTTAGTCAGACCGCGCTTCCCTGTGAGCAGAAAGGGGTAAACAGAGATAGAGAGTCTTTCTGCAGGACAAAACAGGATGTTCTATAAAGCCTTTCAATGTTGGGACTGTTTACTGAACTGCCCCTTCAGCATTCGTGAGCACTCCAAAAAGATGGATGCAGCAGATGGATAGAGCAAGCTCTTGTCACGTTGTCTGAGCTACTGAGCTTTAATATTCAGGTACTAAGAAATGTACTGCTGCATTTAACATTATTCCCTCATTCTCTCCTTTTCCCTGCAGTATTTTTGAGTCTTCATCTTCTCACATCACTCCTTATTGTCACTTACAATTATCATTATACTTTTCAGTGGTGGGCACTGATGGGTAATCCGATTACTTTTTTCAAGTGAGTTAAAAAGAGTTAAGGGATTACGAGATTGGCAAAACAGTAATGTAGATTACTGTTACTTCCCGCACATGCAAGTCTTAAAGCGTTACTCAATCCCATCCCACGTTACATAATAGGAGGAATTGGCAAACTTTTTCAAGCTTAATAAACCCCGTTATTATGAAAATGTCATTTTGGATGGTTAAATGGCCTGATTCCGGTGGAAAATGGTGAAATGGCTAGAGTTGCCAGTTCCCCCCTTTAACCAGCCAAGCCCCAGAATTCTACGAGAGCCTGGCCACATCCCTGAGACAAGCATTAAGTATCCCCATTGTAACCCACCAAGACCCATAAGAATGTTTGGATTTGCAGTTCACACAGATGTATCCAACTGGGGGGCGATCGCCCATAATAAAATGCCTAAAATGTTTGTAGTGCAGAATAGAAAGATGGGATGTGGGCAGAATGGAGCTGATTGAGGCTAAAGATTTGTCTCTTTCACCTGAATTGTCAGTTGAGAAATCTCAGATTTTGATTGTAGTTTTTGCAAGTTCAACCAAAATGGTTATATGGTTCGAAAGATGAATGCAACAAAGTTAACGGTTGAGTTAGGTGTCCTTTCAATTTCTTACAGGTTGAGTTGGTATGAGTGTAAGAACAAATGGAGCGAAGCTTGCCCAACGTAGTCGTTCACGCAGTCAACTTCCGAGCCCTATGTTGCCTATATGCACATGACATGCCTCACGCCCAATCAATCCCAGCCCCCTCTGCTCTGTCCCAATCCCGCTGTTTGGCCCTGCATCTGTATTGCTGCCATGCTGCTTGCTGCTGCTCCTGCTAAGCCTATTGTGCCTGCTGCGGCTGTAAGCCCAAACCACAA